ATTATGGATATTTTTGAATATACCTTCAATAGAGAATAAAAAAATAAATCCCTTTTTACCTATCACCCAGCTTCAAAATTTCAATATTTTTGCCATCCTTTTTTCAGTTATTCCCTGCTCCACTTTTTTCCTCTCCCTTTTTTTTCTTTTTTTGCTTGAGTTTTTAATGTGAATCCTAAGCATCTTATCATTTTGCCTGTCAACACTTCATTATGTACCCCTACAGGATATTAGTCTCGATATCATCTAGTATCTAGTCTGTATTCAATCCTCTGTCTCAAAAACATCTTTTCACTGTTGTTCTGTTTGAATTAGGGTTCAAAAATTTCCACACATTACATTTGGTTGAAATGTCTTAAATCTGTTTAAATCTATAATAAAGAACCCCCTTTAAGTGCTATTTTCTTGTTGAAGAAACCAAGTTATTTGTCCTCTAGAATTTGTCCTTATTCTGGATTTGGCTAATATCTTTGGGGTGTTTTGAATACATCCTTCCATCGTCAGTGTTCTTGTAAACTGGTAGTTAGATCTAGAGGCTTCTTTAGATACAGGTTTAGTTTTTTTGCAAGAAGATTTCATGGTCGGTGCTGGTACTTCTGTTTCATCCCTCCAGGAGGCACGTAACATCTAGTCCACTTTTAGTGATGTTAAAATTGATCAGATGCTTTGAGCGCTGTCCGCGTCATCCATCCATTATAACCCGAGACCTTCTACCAGTTGGTTCTAGGCAGTTGTCTTATAAAGCAAATTATCGAAGACATTTCATTATTCACCAATGGGGGGAGGGGATATGTATGGGGAAATAATAGGAATCAGATTGCCAAAATGTTAGCAGTGGTTAATTTAGGTGTTAGGAATAGAAGTCATTATTTTCACTTTGTGTATTTAATGTTTTTCGAATTTGCTAAAATGGAAAGAAAAGAAATCCTGCCTACACGTATTTAATGAAGGTGAGACAGGGAAACGACTGGAGGGCAGGTTTCAGATCCAAACTTTGGGAAGGGCATCCAGGGGAGTCCAGAGGACCAGGGCAGTGGACCCAGACCACAGCCTGCTTTGCTTCGTTTTTGCCTGTCCAGTGTCCCCTCCTCCTGGCAGCCTTCGTTCCCTTTAGGGTCTCTGCTCTCCTCCCCTGGATTCAGTTGTGGAGGAACTGTCATCAAGATGCTCCACCCTCCCCTGGCCAAAGCTTCGCAGCCAGTCAGACCCCTTCTCCCAGGACTTTGGGTCTTAAGCAGCATCACCTCCTCCTGGAAGCCTTCCTTCTACTGGGGCAGGTGCCTTTCTTCTGTGCCTCCAGAATTCCAGCTGTCAGAGCTCTTACATTTGTACACACCCGTCCTAGCCTCGTATAGTGTGTGGCACATGGTGCTCAGTAGATGTTAGCTGAATGAATGATGTCCACGTTGTTTAGAGTTGATGAAAATACTTGAATGTTAGATCAAAAGATCCCAGATACTCTGGTAGCAGCTTCCAGTCCCCCCAGTCCAGCCCCAGCCTGTGGCCACCTCTCCTGAGCCAGGGTACTCTCACACTCTTACCTACCAGGTATAGCCTTCCCTGAATCCCCACCGTCCCCAACCTGGGCCTTGGCCTCTGTTCCTGAACAGCTCCTAATTGTCCTGCCCTGCCCTGTGCTGAAACTTGAAAAACGGTGAGGCTCAGGTGTTGCATTTAAAGAGGCCACACCCACACAAAGGGACATTTACCTTAGAGAATAACTACCATCTAAACCTTGTAGATTTGGGGACCTGGGCACCGTGGAAGGATGCTGCTGTCAGTGTTGGCCGCTGAGTCTCTCACATGTATGTGTGCAGGTACAAGGCTGCACTTTATTTAAAAATGTCAGGTCTACAGCCATGCTACCCTGAACAAGCCTGATCCTGTCTGATCTCGGAAGTTAAGCAGGGTCTAGTCCTGTTTAGTACTTGGATGGGAGACCACCTAGGAAGACCAGGTGCTGTAGGTGTAAACAAATTTAAAAATAAGGGATTGCAAGCTGACAAGGTCCTTGCAATCTGTGAGGTCAACCAAGGGTTGCCTCACCTAAAAATAAAGTCAGTACTTTCTAGTAGGGTCTAACTGTGGCCTAAAGCCATCCTGACCTTTCTAGTAGGGTCTAACTGTGGCCGAAAGCCATCCTGACTTTTAAGAGTAATTAGTGGCCGAGCCAGGTTCAGACCCGAGCAGCCTGACTCTGGAGTCCTTGCTCACCACCTCTACACCCTATTGCTTTGTCAGTAGAAGCACATTCCAGTTCTCTTCTTGTGCTGAAGAGGGTCAGACTGTTAGAAGAATGTAAATGTGTTTCTAAGATCAAATTCTTTAAATCTCTGTTCCCATCTTTCTTGCCTCTTAAAAAAAAGAGTGTTAAAAACAGAATGAGAGAGAGAATGAAAATGATTATTAAGTATTACAGATTGTAGTTTGGGATTTAAAAAATAATGACACTATCTGCTTATCTTAGAAATGTGTAAAGATAACCACTAGTAGAACAAACGGAATATGTAGTCTTCACACCAGTGGATGGATGGATCTGTTAAGATTCTTGGTTGCAGACAACAGCAAATGACTCTGGCCAGGTCAAGCAGAAAAAGAATCTGTTGAAAGGCTCTCGGTAACTCAGAGTCACCAGGAAGGCTGGAAAAGCTGACAGAGAACACGGGCAGAAACCAAGAGAGGATGGGCAGCAGGAGCCCCAGCAGTGGCCTGGACAGGGTGCTGCTGTTAGAACAGCCTGGACACGTCCGCCCCTGTTGTCGTGGGTCTCAGTATCACTTGCTCCTGGTAGGAGTCCCGTTCCAGGTCACCCGGGCTGGCTGTGTGCAAGTCATGGACCAGCAGCGGAGAGTGTCTGGACCCCGTCTGGATTCTGTAGACTGGGCTTGGTCTCCCACCAAGAGTCACACACTGAAGGATTCCCCTCTAAAGGAAAAGGAGTTCAAACACTAGGGAGCCCCGCTCCCCCGCAAAACAAGGCAACTCCTCTCTACAGGAAAACTTGGCGGATCCGTTAGGAAACAAGAATGGGAGAGGGGAGACTCTGGGAAGTGAATGAAATGAGATATCGGGACTGGTTTGAAATACTGTCTGACTGTATAAGGATGGACGTGAAGTGCTATGTGCTTTACATTTCCTGAGCAGATACTCAATAGAAGGAAGGGTGGGCAAATGCAGCTTTGTTTGATGAGACTTATCTTGGGCTTTGAACTGCCAAAAAAAATAATTTTTTTTTGTCTGAGAAGGAAAAGGGGATTCCAGTATGTTCACCTTGACCCTCAGAAATACTGGCAGAGAGGATTGTGTGATCTGTGACCGTGGGATCTATGACCCATCAGAGAGGAAGTGAAGGTCGGAGGAAGCTGATGGTTTGGGAGAAATCAAAACAGTCAGGAACTCAGAAGACCAGACGAGCCTGAAGAATAATTCATCACGGGGACAGCAGAATCTGAGAGCAGGAAGCAGACAGTCACGATCGAGTTCACGCTTCCCGAAATGGAAGTATCCCCGGAGGTCCTGGGAGCGAGGGTTAAGGAGAGGTCTTTGGCAAGATCAGGAGCTGATGTCAGGGCAAGAGTGGGTCATCCACATGGATTCGATGTCACACGGGCTAATGGCAGGAGCGGAGCAGACAGAGAGAAGAGAGGGCCCAAAATCTCGAACATGAGAGGAGGAGGGATGTGCGTGACAGGAGCCCCAGATGAGCCAGAAATTTACAAAGAGTCAAGGACTCCTGGCCTGAGCATAGCACTGGGCACCCAGGGTAACGCTGCCCCCACGCGGAGCAAGGCAGGAGAGTCAGCTGCAGAGGTGCCCCTCCTGGGACACAGCCATCTTGCTGGCTGCCCCTTCCACCTCCATCCGTTTTCCTCAAGGGCTGAGCCCAGAGCCACTGTTTCCATTTTCCAGGGTAAGCAGTGACCTGTGACAAATGGGACCTATCCACTGACATGCTGTGGAGACAATGGAGAGAATACATCAAGTGTACACTAAGGAGTCTTCTGATAACCGCCCTCCCCCGCCTTCCCCCGTCTCCCCAGCATGTCCCTGCAGTACTAGGCCTTTCATAAATACACACTGACCCAAGTTCCTCAGGAGCATAAGTCATCTTGTCATTCAAGAGAGGCCCCCGGGGATCCACAGTTTGTCTTTGGGAAGAACCGCAGGCTCCAGGCTGAAGTTCAGGGTCTGGCCGCACACCACCCTGAGGCTCCCTGGGAGCTCATTTCAGAGGCGACACTGGGCGCTCACAGCTCTACACAGCCTCTTGCAAGCTCCTTTCTCCGAAGAAGCCCCCCACCCCCGTCCTGTCTTATGTACACTTCTTGGTTACCTCTGGGGAGTAAGTTGTGGGTGGTTTATTTCTTTTCCTTTAGATTTAACCCTTTCTTTTAAAAGATTGAGGTAAAAGTACACATGACATAATATTTACCATCTTAACCTTAAACGTACAATGCAATGTATTTTTTTAAGTATGTTCACATTGTCGTGCAAACCAGTCTACAGGTGGGGGTGTGGTGCACATGGAGGTTAGGGAGGGAGCTGGGGTTGGGGGTGGTGCGGGTGTAGACAGAGTAATTTCCGCCCAGGTAATCTGAGAGTATCTGTTGCTTTGGTTACAGCCGTGACTTATGCACACGCACAGAAAACCACAGCTAAGTGCCAAAGTGTGACACTCAGAATGTCAAGGCCCCCCTTTCATTTTGCAAAGAGGGGACAGAGTCCTGGAAAGGTGAGGCGATTTGCTTAATGCCACACGGCAAGGTGGCGGCAGGGCTGATACTGGAGCCAGGTCTCCTGGCCCCCTGGCCCCCCTGCCCCCTGGCGCCCCTGCTACCAGCAGCACTGCCAGGCAAAGATCCCGGAGCAGAATAAGCTGAGCGGCGGGGCCAGGGAAGGGTCGGGTCCGAGGAGGGTCCCAGGTGCAGCCCAGGAGCTGGAGAGGGACAGAATGGGCCAGAACATGCAGAAACTAAAGAAATGGTAAGGCCCCACGAAAACACTTCAGAAACTGGCGGCGGGGGTGGGGGAGTCTGATCGTGATGCTAAAACAGGGAGGGACTGGGGCCTGGACGGCAGATGGCAAACTTACATCCCTTCCAGACCCAGCGGGGACAGGAGTCACTGAGGTGGCAGAAGTGGGGACAGGGCACAAAGGGTATGAAGACATCCCCTCCGAGGAGGGCAGCTATGGCTCCCACAGCCGCACGTGGCCCTCCTCCAGAGGGAGCTGCTCCGAGGCCCCTCTCAGACAGGGTCGGTCTCTTGCCGCCCCTCTGGATCACCGTTCTCAGCCAGAGGGCGGGCCCTGTTGCCCAGGGAGCCCACATCACAGAGAGTGCTGCCTGTGGTCACCTTGCTGAGGCGGTGGGAGCTGCGGCAGGGTCTGCAGTGGTGGCACCAGGTCCCCAAGCACAGGGCTTTCCAGAAGCTGTTCCGGAAGCGGCTGGACATGAGGCTGTAGAGCACAGGGTTGGCAGCTGAGCTGAGATAGAAGAAGACGCCGGAGATGACATGCACGTACTGGAAGGCCAGGTGCAGGCCCTCGGTCCAGTGGGACACGAAGCTCCACATGAGGCGGTCGATGTGGAACGGGGCCCAGCAGGTGGCAAACACCACGACCAGTGCAACTGCGGGAAAGAGAAGGGAGACCGGGCGTCCGCCAGGGCCCTCTCAACTGCCTTCCCTGCCTCAGCTCGGTCCGCCCGTCCTCACGTCCTCTCCTGTCCCACAGGCCACTCGTGCCCATTGCTCATCTTAAAGTTTCTGGAAGTTTGCCTGCCCTGGACACAGCCCTTTTAGAGCAGCAGCTCTCGCCATTGCAACTGACTGGACAGCAGAACTCCGCCCTGTCCCCGGCCACGGCTGGCTGGGCCAGGTATAGACCCCTGAGCCCAGCTGGCCCAGCCTGATTGTCACACCATGGGACTTGGAACTGGGTGACTCTTAGCTGTGGCTGATGAGGCCCGGTGTGACACAGACTACGGGGCTAAGGGCCACTCTGGGTGCCCACTTGGAGGCCATGCTTGCTGATGCGTAAGCAGAGAGAAGCAGGGCCCATGTCTAAGCAGCAGTAGAAGGGAGGTTATGGGGCCAAAGAGATCGAGACAAACACGCGCACCCCACATTTTCCTGCCTTGGCTCAGAAGCCTCCCCAACCCAGCTGCCAGCTCTCCGAGGCCCGGCTGAACACCCTGCCCCGTGCTGACTCCCCATTACTTGAGAGCCCCCACCTCCACGCCCCAGCAAAAGACGGGACAGGCTGGCCAAGCCCTCGCTCTTTCTCCAGAGCGTCCCTCCATCACTGGTCTGAACCAGCCACGCCCTTCTTGGGTCTCTGTCACCACGTCTGCCTTAATTGTCTGTTTCTTGTTTCTCGTGTTTGACTCAATATCTTTCCCTTGCAGTGTCTTTCCCATCACATGCCGGTGTGGTTTTTCTCATAATCCCAGATTCCAATGTCACCAGCACACAGCCTGGTGCACAGTAGGCCTTCAGAAAGTGAAGGTGGGGGAGGGAGGAAGGAAGGGGGGGAGTCAGAGCCCTAGGTCAGCAAGGAAGGCAGCCTTAAGGAAACACCCACTGCCCAGGGTGACAGCCATCCCAGCTGAGCAGACTCGGACCCCGTGGGATGGGGGAGTAGGAGGCAGGGGCAGGGCTGGCCGGGGCAAGCTGGTCTGCAGTGCAGGCTTCACAGCGCAGAGCTGGGAGGCAAGTAGAGCTCCGGGGTCAGTCCCATCTTGGGGGCTGAGAGTGATGCCACACTCTGGGACCCTGTTCCTGGGGGGCAAGAGGACTGGGTCTCTCTCTGAGAACGGGCCAGTTTCCAGCTGGCAATACTACCAGGGCTTTGAACAAGGCCTCACCAGCCCCATCCTGCCCCGGCTCACCTCACCTACCTGCGTCAGGCCCTGCGCATATGGGGCGGGATGAGGGGGGGAATCAACGCTTGGCTTAGTATCAGTTTGCCCTGCTTCCCCAGGGCCACTGCTTTGGAAAAAGAACCAGGTCTCGGCCACAGTAAGATTCAGAACCTTGACCCAGTCGGGGATGCCCTGGCCAGGCCCAATCCACACACTGCCCTGATTCTCCGACACTCTCCACACCACGCCTCACAAATGCGCCTCCTGACAAGTCTCTTTTATAGACAACGGTCCCTGCCGTGGTTCCCAGGGCACTGCAGACATAGACGGAAGGAAGTCATTTTCTTGCCTCTCTAAGCACTCTCTTCCCTTCTTTTGGAAGCTTTGCTCCCTCTGATCCCACCACGTGGTTCCAAGGGGGCTGCTCACTTTAGCATCCTGCCACTCAGGCTTGGGGACGGGCCATGACCTAACCCCACCAATGACAATCCTTCCCTGGAACTTCTCCATAGCCAATAAGAAAAGAGGGCGGTTCCTTCCTCAGGAGAACAGAACTGTGTTCCCCGTGGCCATGCCTCCCAGACTGCAGTTGGGAAGGACAGAGCCAAGACAAGTCTAGAAGCCAAGATGAGAGAGCTGGAGGGTCTAGATCTCACGAATAGCTCTGTCATCCTGGAGCAAAGCCACGTGTCCACGCCCTGTTTATGGTTTGGTGCTGTGAGCCAGGGCTGGCTTCATGGATGTGCCACCTGTGCATCTGCATAGTGCACCAAGACTAGAAGGGTCCTGGGCTTGGCTTAACGCTCTACTATTGCTATCTTGACATTCTTAATAATTTTTGAACAAGGAATCTGAATTTTTATTTTGCACTGGGCCTCACACATTATGTAGCTGATCCCGCCATGGGCCATTAACGTTTATCTTTGGTGTGAGTTTCTCGAAGAGTAATTGAAAAGAGTACCCCCGTATGCATGCACACACAAACACAAGGCAGGGGGTGGGGTGTGACTCCAACCTCACACTCAGCCTCCCTCATAAACCCAGACACTCCGCCCCTTCCCCCAGGCCCTGGAAGCCCCAGCCTCATCCTCAGTGCCGACTTCAACCCCTCTTTCCAGCAGCAGCACTTACACAGCATCTTGGTCACCTGCCTCCGACTCCTATCCTGCAGGCGCCAGAGCCTGCGGCTGTCGCTGGCCCTGGCCCTGCTCTTGGCCCCCTGCCTGAGCAGCAGTAGCTTCTCGTGCCGCAGCCGCAGCCCGATGAGCAGGTAGAGCACGCTGATGGTGGCCATGGGTAGGCAGAAGAAGAGCAGAGTGGTGGTCTGCACGACCAGGTTGTAGAGGGCCCGCGGGCGGACCAGGGTGCACACGGCCGAGCCGGGCACCGTGCCCCGGCAGGGCAGGTCCAGCTGCTGGATGCCGTGCAGGCTGGAGTTGGGCAGAGAGCAGAGCACGGCCAGGCCCCAGACGGCCCCTAGCACGCGACGCACGTGGGTCCGAGTCACCACGGACCTGGCCTGCAGCGGGTGCACCACAGCCACGTAGCGCTCCACGCTCAGGGCAGTGACATTGAGCACGGAGGCCAGGCAGACTGTCTCAAAGAGCAGCGTGCGGAAGAAGCAGCCGCCGGCGCCCAGCAGGAAGGGGTAGTTACGCCACATCTCATACAGCTCCAGCGGCAGGCCCACCAGCAGCACCAGCAGGTCCGACACCGCCAGGCTGAACAGGTAGTAGTTGGTGGGCGTGCGCATGGCCTTGTGGCACAAGATGACTGTGCAGGTCAGCCCGTTGCCCACGGCGCCCACCACGAAGATCAGCAGGTATGTGACACAGATGGGCACGAACAGCTCCGTCTGCTGGGGCCCCAGGTACTTGAGTCTCAGCTGCTCGTCAGTCAGGTTCAAATCCTCAGGGTCAAAGAGCCCCAAGGCCCTACTGCCATTGCAGAGCACTGGACTCCTCGCATCCCTTGGGGACATGTCTCCAGGGAAGATGGAACAATTGAGGCAGAGAGGAGCCTGTGGAACGGAAGGAGGAAACACCCAGAAAAGTCACTCAGGGAACCCTGACTCTGTCGTAATTCATCAAACCAAAGGTGCCATCGACACCAAAGAGATTATTATTTAATGTAGCCCCGAGAAAGAAAAACTCTGTCATCCACCGTAAGATGCTTTACAACTTCAGCGATGTAAAAATGTGCATCTTAAAAATGATAAAAAGTGGACTACCATTTTAAGTGTTGCGATCTATTTAAACCTTTGAATGACGAATCCTCTCGAGCAAGGGCTTTGCCATCATCCGTCTCCCGGTGGATCTCTCCGCCCTTCCAGCCATGGACTGTGGGAAAGGCACTCAGTCTGGGCATGCGTGAAATGGGTACCACGTGCAGCATCACGTGGTCTTTAAGGACAAGGGCTCTGGAAGCACCTGTCTGGCTTCAAATCTAGGCTGTAGGACCATTTGCCTGGTAACCTGTCTGTGGCTGTTTCCTTACTGTAAGAATCCAGGGAGTTTAATCCCTGAAAGATATGAATGCGAGGCCTGCCTGACGCGCAGAAGGGGACTGAGTCACTGCGGGGATCAAGTGAGGGAGCGAAAGGGCTGAAACCTGTAACGCTGACCCCAAAGCCGGTTGGTTCTCCTTTCTTGTTTTCCATCACCTGAAATATTTGAAATTTAAATATTTGACACTCTTGATAATGCCAGTTCTGGGGTTCCCTGTCCTCTCTGGCTTCCTATCTCTGCCTGTCCACTGGATACAGTGGTTAAGGACCCAGGCCATTGGGCTAAACAGATTGGCCCGTTGTCAGATGCCAGCTCTGCCACGCTCTAGCTGTGACCTCGCCTTACTGTGCCTCAGTCTCCTCATCTGTGAAATGGGGGTGTGGAGAGAGAGCCCGCCTCATAGTCTCGGTTTAGATTAAACGAGAGAACACACGTACAGTTCTCAGGAGCGTGCCTGGCACATTTCAGGGGCTCCGTTTCAGTAACATGATCCTTACTCCCCGTGTGGGAACGGAAGGGCAGTCCAGGGACAGGGCGCAGGGGCTGGACGGGGTTCGGATGCCTCCGGCAGCCGCCCTCGGCGAGCAGCCCCGAACTGTCCTCCTGAGCCTGTTCCCCAAGCCCACCATCACCCCTTTCCTCGGAGCAACACGGATTTTCAAGCTTGGTTCCTGGATCCTCTCCCTGTTCCTTCAGCCCCGTGGCCCCTGTACCTGCGCACCCGCCGTTCAGCATTCTTTTCCATTCTTCAATCTCCTACACCCCGACTAACTTCCTCCTCTCCAAAGCCTCCACGCAGAAGTCCGCCCCAGCCTCCCCGCCTCTCTCACACCTGATCCCCGCATTTTAGCATCCGGGCGCATTTTCATCCTCTCAGACGTGCCTCTCACCCCCGTCTGCACCCCCACCCGCGCTGGTGCGGGAGCCACGGGAGGGAAGCTTGGGGATGAGCCGTCTGGAGGCGCCGGGAAGGGTCGCCGCGCGGAGTCCCCAGCCCCGCTGCGCGCGTGCCCTGCAATAAGACAGAAATAACCCGGAGACTGCGGATCTCCCGGAGAAGAGGGCGCCCCAACAAGGCCCTCCTACCTCTACTGCCCTGGAGAGACCCAGCCCACGCGCTCCTCCTGCCTC